TGATGAGCAAGCAGTGCTTAAATCCGGCCGATATCACACAACTTTATCAGGTCAGCCCCAATCCGCTGTATGCTTATTACTTGGCACCCCCAGACTGTAATCCATGCTGCGGCAGCACTCCTTTTCGGCTCAGCTCCATCGCCAGCCTTATAGAGCAACATCGTCTGGCCCTTACAAAACCAGGAACCGGGAACTTTCCCGCTATCCAGCACTTGCAGTGCGAGCCTACCGAGTCGAGCGGAGGCCCAGGGAAGCTTTTTCCACCAGAAGGCCTGGATCCCATCAAGGCCAGGAGCCTTCCAGAGTTTTGTCTGACGCACGGCTGCATCAAAAGCCCCCTGAAGCCGGCCAGGCTCGGTAGCGCTGGATGCCGGATATTCGCGACTCATTTTCTCCTTCCATGCGCAGAGCTGCAGTATTGCCTCCGGGTCCGAGTCGACCTTCGTTCCGATTATATTATGCCAGCGATATGGTCAGGTGTTTCGGGCTCTAACCGGCACATACGGCATTGCCGCTGGTTCCCATCTGCTTCGCGAGTGCTCAAAGACCATTCCTGGACGCCAAGAGCGTTGCGGAAGGTCACCGCACTTATCTTCACTGCTTTAATCCATAGGCTACTGAGCCTTGTGACATCAATGCTACATAATCTATTGGTGTAGCGACGCGAGCCGGGTGAGGGGAAGAGGATGGAAAATTTGACTTATTTATTTTTAGCTGAAAAAAAATTAAGTTAAGGAAGAATTATTATTTTTATCATTTATTTTCGAACTGGAAGCTTGGCAGCTGTGCCGCTTGTCTTCTCCACAAGCCCCAAACTTCCCTTCCTCCCTTCCTTTCCCGCGGGAAATCATCCTGGATTCGCCTATGACTAGAAATGAGGCTCTTCTGGATCGGAGTCTACGTAACATTTACTTGTATAAGACTTAATGGATCGAAACATTTCTTACCATTAAAAATATTTTCCAACATTTTATTAATTCTTTTTTTAGCATAAAAATATTTCATTTTATTTATCTTATTGCATATTTTTGCTTGTATTTTGTATGGCTTGGTAGCAATGTGGTCGTCTTTTCAGCAGTATGTTTCGTCCAATCCGCCACCAGTGGAGCTCATTCGAGAGCAGTTATTTGTTGACATGTTGATTGATTCGTTGTTCGCGTACGAGGGTGTCAAGGTTCATTCGGATCATCGCCCCAAATACGTCTACCTGCTTGCTTATGGATCGTGTGTTGGTGAGCAGAAAACCGGTTCCGGGGGACGCATACAGAATCGCAATGATCTGGACAAGACACGTGACAAAATTGAGCGAGTTGTGAGTTTTCTGGAGAAAGCCGATGACCTACTGAAGGAAATTTCGCTTTTGCTCGAAGCCATCTTGCTGCCAGTTGTGTCGGCCGGCGTCCTGCACTACTTGCGTGGTAGCCTGTTAAGTGACGAAGTGATCAGCGAGCCAGAGCCTGTGCATTTCGTTATACTGGATCAAATCGCCGCTAATCATCACAATTTAGCAATGAAGTACGCTGTTCCATGCTGTTTTTTTCGACTCCTCACTGTAATTATAATAGTTTTTTTTTTTTGAATAATTCCTGGATTTTCGCCAATGGTTTTCTGCTAGACATCTATCGTTTCATTTTTTCGTTAATTTTTAGTTTTTTTTGTCGATTCACCCTCTGTTTTTCCGTTTATGCCCGCAAAAAAATTATAGTCTTATGCTTTTTGCATTACATCATTCCAAACATACGAATTGACCTCCCACTGAGCGCACCAGTCGCCGTTTTGGTATTTTTTTTAAATACTCCGTTGTTACCATTTAACTGTTCGTTTCTTCCGCCTACTCTCTCCCGTCCAGTTCACGGTGGCTGACCGAGCTCGGCTTCGCACATACAGTTTTTTTATTGCATTTTTTATGTTAAATAAAAAAAGATCGCAATCCATTGCTTTTTGCAACTTTCTGACACTTAATATTTGCCTTCTCCAGTGATTTTTGTTATTTCACTTCTCTGCTCTATAATGCTGGCGATAGAGCTGACCCATCTAATTACCGGCCCATAACCTGCCTCAACACGTGCTATATGCTAGTTAGCAGTGTTGTGAATAAAGCTCTCATGGATCACGTCCAGAAGAGCAGTGCGATCCTGGACAACCAGAGAGCAATGCGCAAGGGGGAGTGGGACTGCACTCATGCCTACGTTCTCGACCGGGCAGTGGTGCTGGACACAATGTCACGATTGAAAAAACCCCTGAGCATGGCTTGGGTCGACATCCAAAAGACCCATGACTCGGTATCCCATAGTTACCTTCTATGGGTTCTTAAGTCTATCCATACTCCTGGTAAGATCTTTCGGACATTACAACGGCTCATGGATTGTCGGAGTACGCGGTTCGTGCTCCGTAGGTCTAGAGGACTAGCCCAAAGTCCGTCGCTTCAGATGGTTCGGGGTATTTTCCAGTTGTGTTCCTCTCTATGAGTTATAGTCCACGTTTCGCATCCATAAAATGATTCGTAGAGACCGCGTTATCGGATTTAGAATTTATGGGAGATGGTTATGTTTGTTTCGTAATTTCGCGGATTTTTTTTTTTTTTTTCGTATGTGCAGTCCGCTTTGTTCTTTCTGTGCGGTTCCGCTGCTGTATTTGTTGGAATTCTGTATCTCATCGCTTTTTTATTATCCTTGGCAATAGTTCCTCCTAATTAAGATGTTATATTTGCCCGCAAATACTGCCTCCGTTGGTTATCCGACTTGAAACAACTTTTAATTGAATAAGCTTAATTAATTCAGTATTTGTTCTTTTTTTTTATTATTTTCAAAGAGATAGCTATTTTTTCGAGGAATTGTTAAAAAACCGATTGTTGAAAATTTAAATTGTTAAAAATTGTTAAAAATTTAAGATTTTCAGAGTGTTCCGGGTTCTGTGTGAGCTCTATGACCGGCAATCGACGATGAATGAAGCGGCCGAAGTGATCATGGAGAAGCAGCGCAGCGTGGTGGATCGTTTCGTGCACCTGCTTTCAGTAGGCCTGGCATTGCCAGTTGTAGAAAAAATCAACAAAATGTTCCGTGATGGGCAAATTGACATTTCTCTTATCAGGTAAAAATTTTTACTCTCACACATCCCTTTCCCTGTCCGACCAGTGCAGAATCCTGTGCAATTCTTTAAGGCAAATTAGGGGCGGCGACAAATGAGGAGATTTAAGTCAAACTGTGAAGTTCATTTGCCCAAAAGGGTGGAAATTTCGCCATTTGAGAGGCGGGGGAAGGGGGAGGGGGAGGATGGAAATTTTGCTGAAAGAAATGGAATCAGTTGTGGCGTTGAATAGCATTAAAATCCATAAAAATGCACTAGCAGTGTGCTTTCCCCTGTTTCCTTTATTTTTTTTCTAGCATTTTTCCCCCGTTCGATCCCCTGCTTCCACATCCCATTTTAACACTTTTTCCCCCACATGCAAACCCCCCCCCCTAGCTGCGATTCCAGCCCGAAATTTGCATAAAATTAGTAAACGGAGAACTGGAGAAGCAAACAGCTTGGAATAGGGGATACATCATAACTTCAAGGCGAAAGCATTTCTCTGAGCTTGTTTTATCTTGGCCTGCTACCCAAAGTTCAGCTTCTCAGCTCAATATGTGAACTGTAAAAATCTGGATCTTCTAATGTCTAGCTACCATAGCAACTTGTAGGTAAAACACCAAGATCGTGCCGGCCTCCCGAGCGCTCTACTACTTTTTTTTTGAGTTTTATGGTGCAAATGTCTGATCTGATTTTAGACGACTCGGGAATTTGTGGAAGGCATTTTGTTCTATGGTAAAGCACATAGCTTTGTCGTTTTACCTGTGCAAGCATGTTCGGGAGGTCGAACTGAAGCCTATATATTACTCCCGTAGCATGAATCCAAAAAAATACGGAGTTAGCGATTTTCCCGCCAAAACTTTCACCCTCTCATACGCGGGGCTCAGACTTGCGTGAGAATTGATGCCGCGGTCCTGAAGTGGCGGCACTATACGCAAAATGAGTGTTTTTGTAGACTCCGTTCCTTTTTCTGCCTTTCTCCCATGCAATGTTTTTAGGTATTTTGCGGTGGAAGTGCTTGAAATTGTCGCACCACCATATTCCGAAGATTTCGTCAACGTCTTTCTGCCGATTGTTTCAAATCCTGAAATATTTGATCAGAACATCAGTGACAAAATTCCGGTTGCGAAGCAGTTTGTCGAGCACTGCACCCCGGCAGCGGCGGCTGCCGAAGTAACCAGCACCTCTTCGCAAGCCTGACTTATTATTAAGCCATGTCCAGGGTGTTATGCCAAGTTCCCGCGATTTGTCTGGCTCGTCGTTGGCTTGTTGGAGAATACTGCTTCCATGATCGATCGTTCGTTCCATCGTGGCACCAGATCGTTGACCAAAGCTACGCGCCGCCATTTGGCACTGA